TTTTTTTTTTTTATCCATCTTTGGTTTTCTTAATTGTGAAGGGTGTTTTGGTAATATCTGTTACTGCAGTGGCGTGTATTTTTCAACAGGAACACCACGCGAGTCAGCCATCTTCTTCAATTTCTTCTTACTTTGACGATCATCGCACTCATTTATACACCCTTATTGTACGACCCGATGAAACATTTACTGTCTTGGTCGATCATTCTAAGATTATGTCGGGTAGCCTTCTAACGGTACTGTATTTTTCTCTTGATTTCAGGCAGCTTCAGTGAAAGTTGGTTTCAATTTTTTTATTTTAGGACTTGGAACCGTCAATAATTCCTCCTCCGAAAGTCGATGACCCCACTGATAAGAAGCCGAAAGATTGGGATGAGCGAGAAATGATAGATGATGTTAATGCCAAAAAGCCTGACGACTGGTATTTGTTTCATATCTTTATCTTCATCAGTAATATTGAGGGAGGATAATTGGCTCTCGCTTCGAATTAGCTCGTAATTTCTACAGCTGCATTTTATAATTAAGGGATGAAGATGCTCCAAAGGAAATAGAAGATGCTGATGCTGTGAAACCCGATGATTGGCTGGAAGGTGAAGAATCTCTGATTCCTGATCCGAAAGCTACAAAGCCGAATGATTGGGACGACGAAATGGATGGGGAATGGGAAGCACCGAAAATTGACAACCCGAAGTGTAAAAAAGTATCGGGATGCGGGAAGTGGAAACGACCAATGATCCCCAACCCAGCCTATAAGGTTAATCTTTGTTACTATTCAAAGTTGTTTACGTGTTATATTTTCTGTAGTAGTATTGGACTGGATATCATTTATCTTTCAGGGGAAGTGGAAGGCACCGAAGATTAAGAATCCTGCGTATAAAGGCAAATGGACTCCTAGACAGATTGATAACCCAATATATTTTGAACCTCATCCGTACATGGAAATGCAGCACACTGCTGCTGTTGGCTTTGAACTTTGGACTATGAGTGCAAATATTGTTATCGATAACATATATGTAGGAACCGATGAAGCTGCCGCAAAAGATTTTGCCGAACAGACTTTCGATTTGAAGAAGACGCAGGCCAGTTTTGCTTTTAAGTGATATGTGCTGTTAGCTTTACAAGGGAAAAAAAACCACCATTAAGAGAGCATATAATAATCACATTGCAATGATAAAAAACTCTCTAAAGACCGTAAATTCATTGTTCTTCACGAAACAAGATAAAATTCTGTTCTAGGAGTCTCTTTATGAAGATGCCACCACACCAAGTCAAGGGATCGTGAACAAGCTAGTATCAGCGACTGAAGAACGCCCGTGGCTTTGGGCAATTTACGTACTTGTAGTGTTAGTTCCCGTTGTTGGAATAACCTTGGCAATTAAAAGGAGAAGAACACGTGATATTGATCATAAAAAAACCGATGAGGTTCATTTACAGGATTTCTTCAATGTTTTCATGAATATTTTTGCTTAGTACTGTTTTTTCTTATTCATTTTTATTGCCAAGGGCTTTCTTGGTTAGGGTGTTTGAAGGATTGTATTCAGCCTGTTCCTGATGATGAGAATACAGCAAATGATGACGAAAACAGAGCCGCTAATGCTGGAGAGAGTGCTAGTGACCAGCAAAGCTCGGATACTGGATCTCGCTCAGCCAGTCCTGCTAGGAGCCAACAGAGTAGAAAAGCAGATCTTGAAGAGGTTTTTTTGCTTTTTCTAACTTAATTTAAGGTCGTTTGCTAATTAAAGTAAATTCGGTTTTTATCTGCACTACTTTAGAGTGAGGAAATGGGGGATGGCGATAACCCTAAAAGGGTAAGCAACTCGGGTGAAGAAGCTGAAACGGCAGGACCAGAAGCTTCTTTAAAAGCAAGAAAACGTTTGAGGAAGCAAGACTGAGAAACTCGTTAGCCGTTTGGGGTTATGTTTCTTCAGCGCCTTTTCGATATTGTTAATTGGAATTACTAATTTATCAGTTTGCTTTCTAGCTTTGCTTGTTGGTTTCGGCATCGTCTTCATGTTTGAAGTTTTCCTATATGTGTTTGCAATTTGCCTTCTGTGCTCTTGTTCTTGTTGATAGATTTGTTTTTGAATGGTTTTTTGTTTTTGCTTTGTTCAATTTATTCTCATGCCACTTGATCGTCAGATTGTCTAGTATTTATAATTGTTGTAGTTTCTATTTAATGTTAATCAGTGATTGGCAAGCGTGTCTGTTTTTGCGTCACCGTCATATAGTTGTTATTCTTACACATTATTGTGTTCCTATTTTTACCTTTTTCAATAGTTTGTTTTAATAATGTTCTTATGGTAACTTCTGTTCTGTCAATAAAAATACTTTGTCAGATTTTTTTTATATTCATTTTCTTCAGCTAATTTCAGATCAGAGTACAGAAAAGTCTCAAGCTTTAATCGTTAACACTGTAATAAAAACAATAGTCGATAGTTTAAAGAGAAGTAGAGTTGGTCGATTTTGAACTTTGAGCACAAAGAATATTAGATGAAGAAATTGCAAAAGTAAAAGCTGTTTTAAAAACGCAGAACTGAAGTTCTTTTTGACGCTGAAATAATTGCTGTTTTGTAACTGTATTGGTGTAGCTGTGGAGTAACATTTCGGTTCAGACGATGCAGTGTGGTCGTATTTGGGACGCTAGTATGATTTTGAAGCTTTTTTCGAAATGAGGGTGCATTACTGTCAGATGTTGGGTGACATTTGTGTAAGTAAGTTACTTTCACTGCAAAAAGCTGTTTTGAAGTTTCTCTTATTCGTCCAACTTGACACAGTAAGTTGTTTTTTATCTCTTTTTATAGGTGGATATTGCAATATCACTACTGTTATGCCTAGTAGAATCATTTTGCAAAAGGAAGATGAAGGAAGAAGCGGTAGGTAAAATAAAAGGGTTTTGTCAAACTGTTTTGGTCTGCAACGAAATGTGTAATACACTTCTTTAATCTCTTTTTGACTGCATCATTAATTAAAAGTAATTGGCTCTTCAACGACAGAAGGAAGAATCTATAAATGGTATAATAATTTTAGCAGTAATTCTTCGCGAATCTTTCTCAACAGTGGTGTCTAAAGTCTTTTTAGCATTGATGAGACGGCTACCTCTTCAGAAAATTTTTGAAATGATAAAACATGTATTCGTGAATTATGTGTACATTATAATTAGACTTTTAAGATTGAGTAACTTTCCGATTAGAATCTGAATTTTTTGAATGGTAATAAATGTGATAGTTTTATTTACTTAATTAGATCAATAGCAACCGCTATTTCTGATGCCATTTATACAGCTGATTCAAACTTTTTTAACAGGCAACGATTTTATTCAGAGCCTTTTTTTTGTGAGACTAAAAGCCATGTAAAGAAATAAGATTTTTTTTTGTACTGACTTGAAAAGGTGGATGAAAATTGCATAAATAGCATGGGATAATTTTATTTCTCAGTATGATGAGTGCGTTTATTTTACTTTGAAATTAATGATAGTTTTGAGTATTCAAATTTGCAGTATTGTCTAAACGATATTTGGCAATAATAACAATGTACTGTCCAAAATTATTCACCGTTACTGAGGTAAGCGTTGCGGCATAGAATTTTAATGTTAAAATAATGGCTAAACGAAGGAAAAAAGTGAATACAAAATTAATTTTATATTACATATATCATTAGTGAAGGTAAATGCTTTCATCTACTTTGTATTTCAGAACTTTTAGGAAATATTTTGACATTATTTTGTGCAGAGAGTTAACTGCCCATACAGATTCTGTCTGACGACTTTATCAAACTGTTAGCTTCGGATATTGTTGTTGTTGATTTGCCATTTCATCAAGAAACTTAGCGATACGCATCATCAAATATTTAGTGCTTGAAATTATTTCCTGTCATTTGGTTTTTGCAATTAATTGTCCTTTTATCTAATAACAATCAATTTGTTTTATTTATGGACACTATTTATTTTCTTTACACGTTATTACCCGGCAGTAACATATTATTAATTAGCAATAGGAAAATGACATTTATAGATTTTGGAGTACGTATATTTACATATTTATATTCATATATACATCAATTTTATAGTTGCATTTATTTATGAAAGATTAGCGACTAATTTATTGGTTTCACTGTTATTAAAAAATGTAAACGTGCAAATATTCTCTGCCGTTTTCAATTTTACCGGTTTAATCACTGGTTTTTGTTAAGCTGTAGTTAATTGAACTTAGCTGAGCAAAAGAACACTTGCAAAGGATTTGTCCTCGTTATACTAATAATTTTGGTTTTTTATAGGGTCATAAACAATGTTGAAATTTGGTAAAAATTTTTGATGCTTGGTCATCACCTAATTAAATGGCTTTTCAGATTTGTTATTACTATTGTGATATAACATCTGAATACCTTTGATATCATCGTCTGACAGTTTGAAAGCGTCAGCCAACTGGTCTCTGAAAATGCTAACTAAGTTACCAGTCTATATTAGTTTTTTGAGATTTTGTTATAACAAGTTTCATGCCAACAGTTGATTGTAAACCTGTAATAGTAGGGACTCATAATTGTAGCATTCTTTTCAGAGTGACGTAATCCAAGGGCATGTCCAAGTTCATGAAGAATAACCTGAAGAACCAGTATAAATGTATTTTTAACTAAAATTTTTAAGGCAAGTTTGCACTTGTTGTAGCAGGAGTTTTTTTTTTTTTTTGTGCACTATTTATGATTGACCGAAATGCAGTTTGATTCTTATTTTATCTTCTGATAAAATTAAGTGATTTGTAGGTGTATTGCAGAAATCTATTTTTGCTACTTATAGCTTGCAGCACATTGATTTTCTTTTTGGAAACTGTAACTGAATCAGATAAGAATATTGAAAACTAACATATCTCAGGTCTAAACCTTTTTTTCCATTTATAGACCAAAATTCAGATCCATCAAGATGTACAATTCCATCGGAAGGATATCCTGAGTGTGCAATGATACCACCTTTCCCATCAAATGCTTCCTGATCACCGTGATCGTATTTTGCAAACAAAATATCAATATTACCAACTTTTTCACTGAATCGATTTGAAGGTGTAACATCGATGAATTTTAAGTAGCCATTGGTAGGTTCAGACCAGATGTTTAAAGCTTTTCTTATAATTTCTCTAAAAATTTATTTTTATCACATCTTAAAATGGTCTTCTTCTACTGAAGTTAGTTAGATGAAAAATTTGCTCGTAATGAATAGCGTCTTTTTGTCTTTGA